TTTTTTCCTTTTAACCTAAGATGACTTAGGTTTTAAAAAAAGGAAAGCAAAGAGGGAGGGAAGGAGGGAACAGACACCTTTTCAACAGAACACCTTGAAAACCACCTTTTCAGCCAAGACAAGCACCTTTTGGGAAAAACCAAGCACCTTTCAGACAACAGATCACCTTGAAAAGCACCTTTTCAATCAAGACAAGCCAATACAAGCATCTTTTTTGGAGGGGGAAGGGGCAGCAAAGGAGGGAGGCAACACCTTTTAAAAATCCAAAAATCAAAAATTTTAAAAAAGCCAAAAAATTAAAATACTGTACAGTCCATACAGCACTGTACCAGGCAATACCAGGCAGTCTGAAGACTGTCTCCAAATCCACTCTCAAAATGCTGGGAAGACTGAGGAAGCAGACAGGCACCCTCTTCACTGGCCAACGGTTAACTGAAAGTTCAAATTTCACGCTTTCCCCGCCTCCCGCATGCTTTTTTCGGTTTGTAACTCGAATCTAAGTTTGCAAGTCGACTGAGTCAATATTTTTCTATCAGAGCGCTTTGTAAGTCGAAATGTTTGTAACTAGGGCCGTTTGTAAGTTGAGGGTTGACTGTACAGCATTCTGTTAGCCACCCAGAACAAAACAAAAAAGTGGACTTTAAAAATAAGCAGGTTAATATTCTGTTCATATCAGGTGTTAGGCCCTGCAGCAATTGCACTACTGGTGGCACATCCCTGGCATGAACAATTTGCAATGCTGTGTTGAAGTACTTTGGGGACAGCACTTCCACTGAGGTGCTAGCACAACTATCACAGGTGCAAACTCGAGTTGCGTGCACATAGTTGTGCAATAGGACTTTGGCCAATGTTTACCAGGAAACATATACCGCTCTTATAAGTGATCTCACCATACTAGCACCTATGGCTCAAGGCAGAGCCATCAATATTGAGACTGATGACACTACTATGTACTCATACCTGGAGGTTAAGAATGTCTTTGCCGAGCTGTAAGACTGTATGATTGAAGCACTATTCCCTCAGCATGCAATTTAACAGAACAACATTCTTAAAATTCCTGTGCACAATGCTCATACAAGGAACGCTACTACACAGCAATTCATACAATAAACACAAAGGCAACACAAGCCCTACAATGAGGCATTCATATGTCGTTACTCAAATCTCTCTTCATTACATGTCAGACGTACAAAAGGAACACTTACAGAGCTTTTATCACATTTCTACAACACAAGCCCTACAATGAGGCATTCATGTGTCGGGTTACTCAAATCTCTCTTCATTAAATGTCAGACGTACAAAAGAACACTTACAGAGCTTTTATCACATTTCTAATCCAAATAACAATCTGTGTTTTTCAGAATTCTGATTACAGCCCGAAGCAGGAAGGAAGCAATTAGACTGGGGTGCAAACAAGCTGAAACCACAGCATGAAACATTTGTTCTCTAAAACATAAAAGCGCCTAAACTGTTCACAAATTATACTAGGTATACCGCCTCCCTTTATTATTCAAGTAGGAAAAAAATACACTGTTCAAAGGTAATTTCCTTTTCATAAGAGCACCACACTTCCTTCTTTGTTATACTGTATACCCTCCTTCCATTTCTTCCTCATTCTATAGTAACTTTATTTCAAATTTACCATTTTCAGTTCATTTCAGTTGTTTTTTTTTCCTGTCACCTACACATTTTGCCCTCTTCCTGCTTCCTAATCTCTTTCATTCTCCAACTCCCCTCTTTTAAAATTTCCAGGAAAATAAGGAATTGGACCCTTGGAAAACCCACCCTTGCCTCAGCAAAACTTTCAAACCAGAGCTTTCCCTTTCCCCTGGCAGTTATTTCTTCCTGTGAACCAAGAGAGACATGTGCAAAAAAAACCCAAACAAGCCACAGCCCTACTATTAACTCTCCTTGATCTCCAGCTGCTGCTGCTGGAGGAAAGTTCTGAATCCCATCATCCCCAGGAAGCATAGCTGCTGATGGGAGTCGCAGTCCAGTAACACCTGGAGCTCCAAAAAATGGCAAAAAAAACTGCGCCCCAGTTTTCAGCACCCCATCGCCAGCCTGCTATATAAATTATATATAACGGCAGATGACCGGCGTTGTCTCCCCCCCCCCCCC